CTGGCAGGCAGGTCTAGGGAACATGGGCCAGGTGTATCAGCTGGCAGGCAGGTCTAGGGAACATGGGCCAGGTGTATCAGCTGGCAGGCAGGTCTAGGGAACATGGGCCAGGTGTATCAGCTGGCAGGCAGGTCTAGGGAACATGGGCCAGGTGTATCAGCTGGCAGGCAGGTCTAGGGAACATGGGCCAGGTGTATCAGCTGGCAGGCAGGTCTAGGGAACATGGGCCAGGTGTATCAGCTGGCAGGCAGGTCTAGGGAACATGGGCCAGGTGTATCAGCTGGCAGGCAGGTCTAGGGAACATGGGCCAGGTGTATCAGCTGGCAGGCAGGTCTAGGGAACATGGGCCAGGTGTATCAGCTGGCAGGCAGGTCTAGGGAACATGGGCCAGGTGTATCAGCTGGCAGGCAGGTCTAGGGAACATGGGCCAGGTGTATCAGCTGGCAGGCAGGTCTAGGGAACATGGGCCAGGTGTATCAGCTGGCAGGCAGGTCTAGGGAACATGGGCCAGGTGTATCAGCTGGCAGGCAGGTCTAGGGAACATGGGCCAGGTGTATCAGCTGGCAGGCAGGTCTAGGGAACATGGGCCAGGTGTATCAGCTGGCAGGCAGGTCTAGGGAACATGGGCCAGAGCCAGGAAGCGGCAAATAGGCAGCAGGGAAAGCAGGCGACTAGGAAATGGGCATGTGAGGTAGGAAATGGGCCAGGTTTGTCTGAAGTCTGAGGCTGCCAAGGGGCAGGGAGTGGAGGCAGAGGGGAGGAGAGTGTAACCATCAGGAGGGTAGAGATAGGTGCTAGCGAGGAAGCTTCGTTGCTGGTATCTTTCCTATTGTTGCCTTGGGCTTCTCCCAGGCCCTTCAAGAATCCCCTCAGAGTTTGCCCTGGTGCTGCTAGGGATGCGGCCATGAAGGCAGCTGACAACCCTTAGGGCCTGAGTCCACCCTGACCAGCGGGCAGGAGCACAGACCCTTGGCTACCCTTTCAGAGGCAGTGGGTCTAGCATAAAAAATAGTTCATATAACCACAGATAACATGCCTGCCATTGTCAGCAAAATAGAAGGGGTTTGCAAGTTCACTGTCAGTTATTATTTGGGATGAATGATCTAAGAAACAAATGTCACTATTCTATAAAACAAACAAAAAAGATAATAAAAACAAGGCATTAAAATACATGACAACCTGCACCTAAAACTCCTCCTTGGGAGCTGAGGAACGTGCAGAGAGCACTGGTGTGACCTGTTAATATTGGGCCACTCAATGGCTAAAGTAGGAAAGGTCTGAAAAATTTTAAAAGCTGGTATCACTGCAAAATTCTTTATCCAGAATGGCAACATTTTCCTGTGATTCAGTGGTCTCAACCTAGATGCACACAAGCCTTACATGGGGGCACTTTAACAAATACCAATGCCTCAAGCCTACCCCAAGCCAACTAATCAGACTGAGGAAAGGGGGCGGGGGAAGCAGGCATCGTATTCTTTTTCTCAGCTTGTTCTATCTTTTGTTGCATAACACACTACCCTCAAAACCTGGTTGCTTATTTATCTGGGTCACAACTCCACAGTTCTGGCAAGTCAGACAGGGACAGGTTGTGGACGCCACACAGAACTAGCTGAGGGTGCTCGAATTGGCCTGAGACTAAGATGACTCACGCTCGAAGCTGGTGAGTTGCTGGCTGGCAGCTCGGTGTTCGGCTGGGGGGAAGGCTGGGTGGGGGCTTCTCTCCCAGGGGCTGCTTGGACTCCCACAAGACAACGTAGCTGGGTTCCCCCAGCCCAGGCAACACCTCCAAGGCTCCGACCGGCTTCAGGAGGCCCAGAGAGTCACTCCTGCTGCATTCTGTTAGTTCAGTCAGTTGCTGAGGCCAGCTCAGAGGAGAAGGGGGTGCAGGTCGGCCTCAGACCTCAGTGGAAGAAGAACCGGAACACTGGCTATCTCTTCACCAGGAAGCTGTTGGTGTGGCTACAGGAGAGAGATGTCTGAAGAGCTCCCAGTGGCTCCCCACAGCAGCTCATGGGGAGAAGTCTTTCCTGGCCCTTCCAGCTGTTGGTGGTTGTCAGCACTCGTTGGCTTGTGGCCACATCCTCCAATCTCTCTGCTCCATCTTCACATCCCTCCTCTGTGTGTGTGACCCCTGCTGCCCTCCTATGATACAGGCAGTGGCGCTCAGGGCCCACCCTGACAATCCAGAGCAGCCTCGCTATTTCAAGATCCTCATTTTAATCACATCTGCAAAGACTCTCTCCCCCAATAAGGTAACATTTACAGGTTCCAGGGCTGAGGGCCTGAAGTCTTTGGAGGGGCATTGCTGTGCCTCAAACATGATGAAAATATATCTGTGAGCCCAGGACTTGCTAAAGAAAACCAGCGTCCAGCCCTGACTGGTTTGGCTCAGTGGATAGAGTGTCGGCCTGCGGACTGAAGGGTCCCAGGTTCGATTCTGGTCAAGGGCATGTACCTTGGTTGCGTGCACAACCCCAGTAGGGAGTGTGCAGGAGGCAGCTGAATCGATGTGTCTCTCTCATCGATGTTTCTAACTCTCTATCCCTCTCCTTCTCCCTTTCTCTCTGTAAAAACATCAATAAAATATATTTTAAAAAAAGAAAAAACAAAGAAAACCAGCACCCTGTGTCTTCATGAGTCGGAAAGGCGTTGGGACCAGCCAGGAGCTGGGCGTGGGGATAAACCACCTTGTAGGATGTCTGGGACATAACAGCCATCAGCCCAAAATGTTATCCAATTTTCTTCCCCAAATTGTCTTTTATTTTTATTCTAAGTAACAGTTTTATTGACATATAGTTGAATATATTCTTTTTAACCAAAAAAACCTCCATAAAGTAAACTCTGTCAGTGCTTCAAGGGGTCAGAGTTAGTTTGAAGACTTTGAAGTGTGTCTCAAAGATTTTAAAAGCTCAGAAGTGGGGAAAATGTGGAGACTTCCCTTAACATGGGCTAAAATAACACAGATTCTCAACTGATACAAATTCCTTTTCTCTCCCCCAAAACACGTAGTCATGACTTCAGGTTTCCATTTCTCTTACAGCTAGTTAGGAACTGCTCATCGACAAGCTGGCTGCAGCCTGAACACACACCTGTACCTCAGACAGCTCAGGGGTGGTCCTGCAGTAAGCCTTGCTATTAACTTAGAGTGTGAGTCCAGGTCTAAAAGACGTAAAATATTCCTTTTGTGTACAATAATCTACGCAGCGCATCTTCCACACCCTAAAGCATACGGTGGCACTTTCAGCCTTCGATCAGAATGTTATGCGGAACGGGCACATCATTTACGAAGTTCTTGAGCAAGAGATGAGGCATCTGCTTAAAGATCATCATTCAAGTTTCTACATCTGCCTGTGGGGCCAGCAGACCGAATGCCTGAGCTTGCCCAGGGACAAGTCTCTCAGTGTCATCTGGACTGCTTTGCCAGGGGGGCTGGGAACCGGAGGAGGTGTGGCAGACAAGGCAGGCGCGCACACCTCTGATGCAGAAACAGCTGGGAGCAGGTGAATTCTCCATAACTCAGGCAGGACTGGAACCGTCTCTCCTGGGCAACCCTCAGCTAGCTGCACAAAGGAACCGAGTTTTCAAAACAAATCCCAGTGCGCTGGCTAGCGCTCTGTCTCTCCTTGTCTCTCTCTTCCTCTTTGTCTCTCTCTGCCTCTGACTCACTCCCCATGATGCAAAGATCAGATTCTAAGTATGCTTATTTTACTGATTTAAGAAATTCCCTTCTGCTCCCGTCAACTTCTAAGATTCCCAGTTTTTCGTTCCCTACTAACTACAAAAATAGCCAACAGCAGCACAGCGCAGATAAACCCTCCCTGACCTCCCAGGTGAAATGTCTTCGGGTCAGGTACAAGCCGGCCCTAGCTTTCCTAACCCTCCTCCACCCTCACAGGACAGATAGGAGGTCCCCAGTGCCACCGCCCACCCGGGAGAGGGGAGGGGTGACAAGTAGGACTCACAGCCTCCAAACTCCTGGGTTGCAACCCTCCCTCTGAAGTCCTGTAGGCCCACGCATTTCAAACAGAGCTTCTGCATGGGGCGCGGCCGGGGGGCAGAGGGGGGCAGCTGCCCGCTTTCAGGTATTCCCAGTAGGTGCTTTATGCTCCCGTCTATTCTGAAGCAGCAGTTGCTAAATTTTCATTTACAACAGTCACTTTTAACTCCTAACCACAGTTTACCCAGCAGACTGGCTTGACCAAGCACTGCACCAGTTCCTTCCGGAGGACACACGAGCTGGCGCCTGCAGCTCGCTGCTTCCCGGGAGGCCACGCACTTTAGCCACTATAGCTGATGCTCACCACGAACCAGCTGTGCTGCTCAGGAGCCTGCCATGCCCACTTCACTTATGGAATCATATGAGGCAATCACATGTCACGTAAGCTGATTTAACAGGACAGTGAGGGGTCGCTCCTATGCAATTCAGTCGAATGCTTTTAGGAGCCTTGTAACAACTGCATCAGCGTAGGTGTAGGTGATAATCATAAAAGACAAGGAAAAATCTTAAAACTCTACTAGGGTTTTACACTCAGATGGCTTTAAGCGTTAGGTTTTCTCTTGTTTAAAGAGACGGAAACGGAGCATGTTAGACGGTACAGAGGCGCTGTGTACCTTGCTGCAGAGCGCAAGCGAGCAGGCCTAGCATCAAAAATCAAACATTTGAGAACTGAGATTGATAAATTTCAAGTCAAAATAAAGAGTTTATATATATTTTTAATTCCCCTTGTTGACCGACTTTTCTCTCTTTCAAGGAGAACTAGTCAGTCTCTGACCACAGCTGTTGGCCCAGGGGCTGCAGCTGCCTGGCCCCTGACACGACCCGCGCAGCACGCTCAGCGGCTCGCCCAGGCGCGGATGGAAGCGTCAAGGCTGAGGGTCAGCTTAGGCCACAGTCACCGAATGCTGCCAGTGCGCGCAGCCTTCCTGTCGATCCGGGTCTCGGTTACCTCCCAGCCCTCCCTCTCCAACCCCGAGGCGGAGAGAGGGACCCCAGCTCATACCCATCCTTTTTGTAAAACTCCAACATCATGTTGTCTGTGGCAACGCTGAGGGGCCGGCGGGCCTGCTCGGTCTGGCGCCGGTCGGCGGGGTCCATGTCTGGGGAGGGCATCGAGCTGTAGTTGGCGTTGTGGTTCACGTGGACCGGACTCCCGTAATTCCCCGTGATGTTGAACTCTATCTCTGTGAGGAAGAAAGAACGGGCCTGTCACATGCTTCCATGGCAGGGAGGGGAGCAGATGGCCTCTCCCTACTTCGCCCCTAGAAAATGTTGTTCCATGGTTCCATGTTAGGCTATCTATTGATATTAGTTCATCTTCATATAACTCACCTATCATGTTAATATGAGGGCATTTAATAAAGCAGTTTATATTTGTGATTAAAAACAAACTTAATGAAACGGAAACAGAGGCATACTTCCCGAAAAAGATAAAATCAGCTACCGCAGCCCTCATGGTGAAGAGGGTCTTAGTCAGATCAGGAAAGAGCCATGCCCCCCTCACCACTGTCATCTAACACCCCTGGCCGGGTGCTGGCCTATGGCATCAGTCAAGACAATAAAATATGGGGCAGTATTATGATTTGTAGATGAGAATGTCTCTCTGGAAAACTAAAGAGAGAAATGGAGAAGGATTAGAACTGGAGATTTCACTCGGGCCACTCAGGCTGTTGACTGCAGATGGCCACAGGAGTGCTCACCCCCCCTTTCCCTGTCATCATACGTGGACCGCAGCAGTAATGCATGGGCTCCTCACAGAACCTGCCGTGTCCATCATGCCGTCAACTCCCTTCCTGCTTTTCTGTAGCCTCACTGCTTACCCTCACCCAGCTTTTTACGTGACTAACAGAACTCTTAAGAGCTCTCACAGTCAACGCACATGAAACAAAATAAACACACTTAAGCTTCTAAAGTGCTAGATCAGCACTAATCGATCACTGCTGATAGAGCATGGACACATTAGCATAAAATGCCCTTAAGTTTTACTAACCATTAGGTCGGATAGCCTTTTCTAAAGGGGACACAGCTTAGTGTAGCAACTGCTGTCTCTTCAGAGCCGTCAGCTGAGAGCCACAGACGCGAGGGGTCCCATGCTGAGGACAGTGATGAAAACCCACCGTGGGCAGCTGCCTTCTCTTTGAACCAGGCACGGAAGAGAACCTGACCACCTTCACATGCTGAGGGACGCTGGGAGGACAGCGCCAAGAACAAAGGGTGGGACCCAGGCGATCCCCTCCCTCTGGTCTCAGCACCCCCTCACCCAGGAAGCAGAGGGTCTCTTTCCTGTCTGCACCAGCACTGCAGGATCCACAGGGTTAAGGAAACCATGGTGTGGACGCTGGACCAGAAAGTCCATGGTCATGGCTGGTACAGGCAGTGGTCACCTTCAGGCCAGAGAGTTAGGAACCTGCCAGGCAGGTCTAGGGAACATGGGCCAGGTGTATCAGGTGTGTGAGAGTGTGGGTGAGAGTGTGTGTGTGTGCCCGTGTGTGTGTGCGTGCATGTGTGTGTGTGCAGGGGGATTAAAAACACAGCACAATAGAACAAGCACACACCTCTGGGCAGTGACACTTGTTCCAAAGGTTCAGAACTCACAGTGACACCTGCTCTTTCCCAGCCGCCCCTCCCCCACTGGCCGCCGCACGTACCCCCAGGGAAGAACCAGTCCGCATGCTGGATAATGGGTTCGATGATGCCGACAATCTGCAGGGAAACCGTGGTCATCATCTCCGTAATGTTCCTGCAGGCACAGAGCAGAGTGTGGGCGGTCATCCTCCGAGGCCCGGCCCCCCAGCGCGAGGGCCCTGGCCCAGGAGCCTGCAGACCTCGGTCTGAGAGCAGCTTTCTCTTGGGAAGAAGAGGTTCACCTTTCTGGACCCCTTTCCCCTGCATAAGATGGAGACAGCCACGGAAGTCCTCCGTACAGGAGACGTGTGAGGACACACGTAAGTAAGCTGCACACATCAGCAGGTGGGGGGCCCCTTTCAACGTGAGGTGTGAGCCCCATTACTGACAGTCTCCTCTCCCAGCTCCGTGCTCTTCTCCGAGATCCCTCGGTCTTCCTGGGCCCGGACACCAGACGAGTGCTCTTCAGAGTCAGGAAAGCCAGGGAGAGCCTGCCTCGCCCACTCCGCCAGGCCCCTGCCCTTTCACCCCGACACTGTCTTGGATTAGCTCAGAGGAGACCCTCCTGGCAGACCTGCAGCTCTGAGATGACCAATGGGAAGATCTGCAGAATCCTGGGCCTCCTCCTGAGCCTAAAGGGGGAGGAGGCCAGGGAGGAAATCTGCCTTGAGAAATAACGAGTCTGGTGAGGGAGAGGCAGGGAAGGCCCTGACCCTGCAGCCTGTGGTCCCCACACGCCCACACTCCTGTACTCACCCCTCCGCTTGTGGCCACAGGAGGTTGGGTCCTAACACAATTGCTATGTTACTGGGAGTCATCTTGTTTACATCTTGATATTCTGACAGCTTCGATAAAAATTTGATCAAGTATCTGAAAGGAAGTAGGAAGGGCCAATTTTAACTAAGAGTTCAACACCTGCACGTTCCCCCAGCACTGGGTGGAAACTTCTCTCGCATAGCATAGCTTACTGACAATGAGACGCATACTTTCTTCAATATGATGAAGACACGTCATGCACCGGGACATGGAAATGCTCCAAAAACAGACAGACTCAGACATCACTGCTATATGTCAACCTCTGGACAGAGAAAGTCTCCATCCTTCCTCTGGACTCAGTATAAAATGGCCTAAAGTTCCATCCTCACTTCAAATCTCTGTCACCTGCCATCTTCCCTGTGTGCAGAGGGGAGAAGCAAAGTGTCCGAGGTCATCGGCAGGGACATCTACAGGCCTGGAGTCTATCCCCTGGTCCCTTTGGAGTCCCTCAGTGGGGCTTTCTGGAGAAAGCCAATGAAGAACAAGTTAAAGACTCAGCATACGACCCAGCAATTCCACTCCTAGGGATATGCCCAGGAGAAGCAGGTCCACACAGACTTGCAGCAGTACTCAGTAGTCAGATGTGGGATATATGGGTCCATAAAATGTGGTCTCTCCATACAATGACATATTATCTATAATAATAAAAGCATAATATGCTAATTAGACCGGACGACCTTCCGGACAAAGCCAGGGCTGCAAGAGAAGCCCGGGTCCCGAGTACCTGCCAGTGGCTGGAGGAAAGCCCAGGTCCTGGGTGCTAGAGGGAAGCCGGTGCTGGCAGCCGGGGGAAGGAAGGCCTACTCTTGCACAAATTTCATGCATTGGGCCTCTAGTTCAGCTGTAAAAAAGAAATGGAAGCTCTGACACATGCTACCACATGGATGAACCTTGAAAACATCCTGCTGAGAAAGGAAAGACCACATGTTTCACGATTCCGTTTACATGGTCTATCCAGCACAGATAGATCCACCGTCAGGGGTGGGAAGCAGGTTGGGCTGCCAGGGGCTGGGCTGGGGGACACAAGGACTGCTAATGGGAATAGGCTTCTTTTTGAGGTGACGAAAATGTTTAAAATGAGATGTGGTGATAGTTATACAAAACCACCACAGAATCATACACTTTAAAGGGGTACAATGATATGTGAATTATATGCCAATAAAGCTATTAAAAAAAAAAGAACCAGTAAGGAAGCTATTTACAAATGAAGCACAAAAAAATAGCTCTGGCAAATCATGCCCAAAGTCTGCCAGGCTCTGCCAAGTACCCTGGGGGCACGTTTCCCCCCAACTCTCAGGTACTCCAAGTTCCTGAGGCCCCTTTGCTCCTGGCAGCCTGGCAGAAAGGGCGGACTCAGCTGCCCCTGTCCCAGCCTCTCCTGACCATATCTCACTCCAAGAGGCCACACCCTGGACCAGAACGCAGCCCAGCTGAGAGCAGCCAGCCCACTGCTGCCGGAGGCTGAGGCTGTGGTCTACAATACTCAATGTGTTATACCAATCTGATTCTTCCTTCTTTTTTTTTAAATAGTGGTAAAATATACGGGTCACCATTTAACTACTTTTAAGTATATAATCCAGTGGCAGTAAGCACTTCCACACTTTTAGGAAACTGTCACCACTCTCCATCCAGCTCCAGAACTTTCCAACACCCTAAACTTGACCTCTGCACCATTAAACAACACCCTCCCATCCTCCTCCCCTACAGCCACTGGAACTCTCCAGCCTACTTCCTGTCTCTGCGAGTGTGACTATTACAGGTGCCTCATATGAGTGACCCATGCAGTATTTGTTCTTTTGTGTTTGGCTTTTTTCACTTAGCACCGTGCCTTCAAGGTTCATCCGCATGGTTGCCTGTGTCAGAATTTCCTCCCCCTCTGAGGCTGAACATTGCATTGCATGTGCATTTTGCTGGCCCATTTATCCACTGAGGGGTATGTGGCTTGTTTCCACCTCTTAGCTGTTGTGAATAATGCGGCTCTGAACATGGGTGTACAGAGCAAGTCTTGGCTTTCTAATCTATTGTCTACATAGCCAGATGTGGAATTGCTGGGTCAAGTGGTAATTCTATGTTTAATTTTTTGAGGATCTGCCTTACCTCACTATTGGGATTTTTTACAGGGAAACAGAAATTATCAGGCAGATGGTGGCAGGAGCTGAAGCTAAAAATCTGTATCTAAAGAAACTGTGAGAAGAGGCATGGGGCCAGGAGCAGTGCTGGCAAGACAAAGTGATGAGGAAGCAAAAGTGTGAAGGAGCAGAAGCCGGGGAGGGAAAGATCTGCACAGCAGCAGGAAGTAAGATCTCGGGTGGTCGCAAGAAAAGCGAGAGATGGACGTGTTTAAAATAGCTGGGGCAGGGTGGAGCGCTGGAGTACGTTCTCCCACAGCCTCTCCTTCCTGCAGGCTAGCTCAGCACATACCTGCCCACTGCAGCCCCAGGTTTGCTCAGCTTCTCCCGGGTGTCCACGAACACCCATCTTTGCAATAAATTCCCAATATCTTGAAATAACTTGCATTAATCTTTGCTCCTTGCAAATCAAAGAACTTAACTGAATTAGCCAATGGCTAATTAGGCAACCTCCAAAGTCATATGCCCCGTTTCCTCATCTGCAAAATGGAAATGAACAACTTCACAGGATTGGTGGGGGCTGGGCAGAGGCCATGCATGTTAACACTTTGGACACCATGAAATTCAGTGCATGTTAGTGAACACAACTTCCAACCGGGAAACTGTGTCTGGGCCTTGAATAACTGACCCAGTGTCTCCAGGGTCCACTCACCGGATGTTGCTGTGATTGGCCTTGGGCAATTTTTCACAAGCATTCCACAGAGCCTGAAGCCTCTTTTCTTGCTCCTGGATGCTGGGGAATTAATAGGAAAAGCCACTGGTTGAGCATGACTTACTGCAGTCTTCCTGGCAGCCACATCAACCGGTCACTGTAATATTTGAGAATAAGGAGCCACCCACGTGCCTGACAGTGTCAGCAAGCTATGACTACTCCATTGTTTGGTTACTATTACCTCCTCTCTATGCTCTCTTTCTATCTTATCCTGTGCTCTTAACAAAACTCCCTCTCCCCACGTCCCATGTCCAGGTGAATGTGTGCCAGGCAGCAGTGGGGGCAGGAGGGCAGAGGCCGGACACCTGAGCTCTGCAGCTGGCAGGGCCTGGTGTTGGCAGGAGGGCGATTCTGGCCCTGAAACCAGGACACTTGGCACCAAGCAGGACCCAACACCCATCCGGGGCAGGAAGAAGTCCTTACTTTTCCTGGTTCTGAGACACTGAGTTCTGAGGCCTCAGGATCCTTCCTAGTTCCTGTTTCCTGTGAGACCCGCCTCTACAAGTGAGGGGGGAGGGCTGTCTCTCAGATCCTGAAGCAAAGGCGTCCTCCCCTTCTCCAGCATCTATCACCAAGGTGGCACAGACATGCAGTGAATAACAAGGACATGTTCTCCCTCTCCTTCACCCGGGGACCACAGTGGAAGTTCCACCACATCCACACCATGGTGGCAGCTTACTGTTCAGTGCAGCGAATATTATTTAATGACATTCTGTGAGTCCCTTCTGAATAAGTGAATTTAATGACTCATGGAAATAAGGAATCTGATCTATCCAGACGTAACTCAGAGGTGGGTAATTCGCATGAACAAGGGTTTCTCCACTAGACAGGAAGATTTGCTCGAAGGGTTTCTTTATTCATAAGCCCTCTGAGAATGAAGAGAATTGCTCAGAGGATTATACTTTTTAAGTACTTTTCATGAAAATCTACATCAAGGCCTACATGGCTCGGAAGGCCTAATGATCAGAAAAACAGAAAGGAAACACCAGCTGGCGAGGACCCGGCTCTGAGCCGTTGACTAGGGTCTGGGGAGATAGGGAGTGCGGGGGGCGGGAAGGGTGGCGGTCACTCATGTGGAGTTCCCAGAGGCCTCCCACGGATCTCGACCAGTTAGCCAGAGGGAGAGGGGAACTCTCCAAGTGGAACCTCTGCTGGGAACCTGGCATGAAAGCCGCGCCTTCCAGGAGTAAATGGAAAGGTAACAGCTCATGTCCCTGTGACCAAAGGCTGGCCAGAGAGGGTCTGCTGTCGGGCAGCCTAGTTCCCCCCTCCTGCGACCATGTGCCAAGGGTTTCCTCTGTGAACCTCATGCTCCCCACTGTAAATGGGATTAGCAAGAGAACTTTCTAGTCTCTTATTTACGTGGCTGCAAAGTCGTGTCCTTTGAGTTACAGGCCACCCTGCACGGTCCTGACAATCCCTAAGTGTGGGCCAGGAGGTCCTTGTTTGCAAAGCTTACGAGGTAACCGGCTACTCACACACAGCCTGAGCCAGGCAGTCAGTTCCCGGGACAAGGAACACAGGTGGGACTTATGGCGACTGCTGGCTGCTTTACCTTGGGGTTGTCAGACAGGCCTTTCTGAGGTTACATTTAAGGCGGGGCCCTAGGGCAAAGGTTTCGGGACACCTGCATCAGAGGGAGCTGCCAGTCGAAGGTGAGGCATGTCCGTCCTGTGGAAGGAGCCCTATGACTGCAGCCTCAGTCCTTGCTTCCTAGACTCCAGCGTGGAAGCACTTCACTTACGTGGCTTGCAAAGTCATGTCCTCTGAGCTACAGGCCACCCTGCACTGTCCTGCGATCCCCAACTGCTGTTCCCGCAGCTTCCCTGGCTCCACCTCCCACTCCTGGCTGCCCCATCACCACAGAGCAGGCAGTGTTGCTGTGAGTTAGGGTTAGTGTGGCTCATTCGTGAGACTCAGCTTCATCAGAGGTCAATGGTTATCAACCCAACAGCTTTGGGAGTTTTGAAACAAGGAGCCCAACCAATGAAATCAGAATCTGGGAAAAAAAGGTTCAGGCATGGGTATCTTTTAAAAGCTTCCCAGGAAACTAATGTACACAGAGGGCTGGAAATGGCTGTTCCAGACAAATTACTTTCTTTGGAGAGAGTGAGCATGTCACAATCTTTAAGGCAGGACACACAGTCCTTGCTTTTCCTTGGTTCCCAGACACTGAGCTCTGAGGCTTCAGGATCCTTCCTATTTCCTATGAGATCCACCTTCACAAATGAGGTGGGGGGTGTCTCTCAGACCTTGAAGCACAGGCATCCTCCCCTTCTCTAGCTTTGCTTCACCAAGACCCTCAGACATCAAGTAAAAGGGAGTTTCCATCAGAGGACGTGTTCTTACTCTCCTTCACGCCAGGACCACAGTCTGTTCTGGACCCTCACACCAGGACCACAGTGCTGCTCTAGATCCTCACCTCAGACCACAGTGCTGCTCTAGATCCTCACCCCAGGCCACCGTGCTGCTCTAGATCCTCACCCCAGGCCACCGTGCTGCTCTAGATCCTCACCCCAGGCCACCGTGCTGCTCTAGATCCTCACCCCAGGCCACCGTGCTGCTCTAGATCCTCACCCCAGGCCACCGTGCTGCTCTAGATCCTCACCCCAGGCCACCGTGCTGCTCTAGATCCTCACCCCAGGCCACCGTGCTGCTCTAGATCCTCACCCCAGGCCACCGTGCTGCTCTAGATCCTCACCCCAGGCCACCGTGCTGCTCTAGATCCTCACCCCAGGCCACCGTGCTGCTCTAGATCCTCACCCCAGGCCACCGTGCTGCTCTAGATCCTCACCCCAGGCCACCGTGCTGCTCTAGATCCTCACCCCAGGCCACCGTGCTGCTCTAGATCCTCACCCCAGGCCACCGTGCTGCTCTAGATCCTCACCCCAGGCCACCGTGCTGCTCTAGATCCTCACCCCAGGCCACCGTGCTGCTCTAGATCCTCACCCCAGGCCACCGTGCTGCTCTAGATCCTCACCCCAGGCCACCGTGCTGCTCTAGATCCTCACCCCAGGCCACCGTGCTGCTCTAGATCCTCACCCCAGGCCACCGTGCTGCTCTAGATCCTCACCCCAGGCCACCGTGCTGCTCTAGATCCTCACCCCAGGCCACCGTGCTGCTCTAGATCCTCACCCCAGGCCACAGGGCTGCTCTAGATCCTCACCCCAGGACCACAGTGCTGCTCTATATCCTCACCCCAGGACCATAGTGCTGCTCTAGATCCTCACCCCAGACCACAGTGCTGCTCTAGATCCTCACCCCAGGACCACAGTGCTGCTCTAGATCCTCACCCCAGGACCACAGTGCTGCTCTAGATCCTCACCGCAGACCACAGTGCTGCTCTAGATCCTCACCCAGGACCACAGTGCTGCTCTAGATCCTCATCGAGGACCACAGTGCTGCTCTAGATCCTCACCCAGGACCACAGTGCTGCTCTAGATCCTCACCCCGGGACCACAGTGCCATTGTAGATCTCTATCCCAGGACCACAGTGCTGTTCTAGAGAGGCCTCAGGGGCCATGGCTAACCACCTGGGTTCTGGAACCAGATCCTCATTTTGCCATTTATTAGACAGCAAGTAACCTGCCATTACATACCTGCCCCGTGACTCAACTTCCTCATCTGGAAAATGGGAGAAACAGTACAACCCACTTCATAATGTGGAATTAGATGAATTAAAAACACATAACGAGCTTAGAACAAGGCCAAGTCTCTAAAAATCACTCAACAAATAGTGTCCCCTATGATTATTACTACCCTCACGGAACCCACACTTCTCCACAATGAGAACAAGAACACCGTACGTTCAGCCAGCCCTGTGCAGTGCTTGACCTCCATGACGTCAGGGAAACAAACAGTGACGCACCAGGACTGGAGCACCTTCCTCTACCTTGACACACACCAGCTGGGCTTCGCTCCAGGTCCGCGGGCTTCTCCTCCAGCCCAGTTCTTACAGAGCAGGTGCACACTCGTCTTCTTTCTGGCATGATGCTGGCTGCTCCTTACGACTAACTCCCACGCTAGAGACCTCCAGAAATCACGTCCTTTCCCAGGCACCGGGCTGAGTCCTGATCTCATAAAATGTTCTCCCCCATCTCTTCTTCCTGCACGTCTCTACCTCCTGCTCTCTGCTGGCAGTCTCCTGGTTCCTCACCAGCCATGCCATTTACTCACTAAAACCCAGTCCTCCAAATAACAGCATTTATTGAGGTAGCTTTTCCCATGGCCGATACTAACCCATGCGCCACATGAGGAAGGCAGCTGGCTGTGGCTTCGCCTGCTCTTTCCTTTCTTCCCAACAGGACTGGAGCCTCAGGTGCTGTCCTGTTACCTCCAGCTGGGCCCTCCCTTGGGCTCATCTTCTGGAGGGTGGAATGTATCCTCACCCAGATGTTATGTGTTTATAGTGGTTATTGTTATTAAAATATTTTTACCTATTGGAGACAGCTTAAGGACCCCTGTGACCACTCCCTTGTCTTCCACTCCAGAGGGAATCACTACCTCTGTGTGAGCCCCTCAAGAACCTTCTTTCATGCATTTACACATACAAAGAGCCACTCTTAAAAGTGTTGTTATCAGTGCTTTTCTTCTTTTTACAACAATGGAATATCATAGGTGCCTGTTAACTTGCTTTATTTCACTCAATAACAAATCTTCGTGCCTTTTCATGATAGCGTGAATAGCTCTACCTATGTTTTGACTGCTGCAGAGTATGTCACTGTGTAGACATACCACAGTTTATTCAGCCACTCCCCACCCCCCACCAATGAACATTCAGTAACTTTTAGGCTTTTGCTATTTTAGCAATTGCTGCAATCCATGTTCCTGCATATGCCTCTAAGGACACCTGTACAAACATGGCAGGTGTTTCTGCATGATAGATACTGAGAAAGGAGGTGCTGGACCATAGGTGGCATGCTTTCATAATTTCAACAAACACTTCCAGAGAGACTCCAACCCACAAGCCACTCCAAAATGTGGTGTACTCACTTGGAAGCCTGAATCCACTCGTCATAGAGTTCAAAGGTCATAAGAGGTTCTGGCAACTCTCGAAGGTAAGATTTCAAAGCTCCTGGGCATGAATACAATATTGGCCATGAGCCACTTGGAATGGCAGAGACAAGCACCACCAGCCGGCATTACCCACGGGGGTTACATCTAGGACGGGCTCCCTGACCCAGATAGCATCCAACGGTGGCTTCCCGTGGGAGTGGACCCAAGGCCCTGGCAAGGCAACAGGGCCTGGGCTGGCGATGGTATTGGCCTCCTGGCCTCTAATTCCCACCACTCTCTCATCGTCTGCTGGCACACAGGGGAGACCTTCCCTCCAGGGGCACAGCAACCAGGCTTAACACTGGCCCTCGTGGATGCACCTAAAGCTTATCAGGAAGCCACGGGCTCCAGTGTCTGTGGCACGTGGTCACACACCCTCCATGCTCTCCCTTCCCTGTGAGCATCTACAGCACGAGGGAGCACCGTGCCCAGGGGCTGTGAGCACCCACCTGCGATCGCGTGTGGGTCTGCTGAGTACTCCTGCACGTCCACCACACAGCAGTCCAGGGCAGCTTTCAGCTTCTTCAATTTGGAGGCGGATGGAGCCACTCGGAAGAGTCCCTACCAAGAGGCCAGAGGTCAGTGCGCAGCCCTGAAGCTCGGGTACAGAAGCAAAACCAACAGACAGCAAGTCTGCCCACTCCGTTGCTCCACACTCTCCTGGGTGCATTTCCCAGCACCACTGTCAACACTGCAGCTGCTGTTTCCTAAATGCTCCTGCCGAGCAGGGACTGGGCCTGGCCCACTGTCCTGTCCCCGGGGTCTACTATGGGTGACTCACCATTCTGCCTTAGTATTTGTCGAAAAAAAGAAACTTGGGCACCCAGTTTTCTTGTTCTTGTTTTGAAGATACATTTTAGAGAAGAATATGACTCAGACCTAGTTAGATTAGGGGAGGTGTGGGAATTCAGATGTGAAAGAGCTACAGGTTCGTGTGTGTGGGAGGCACAGGACTATACTTTTATTTTTTACATCTTTATTGTTGAAAGTATTACATATGTCCCCTTTCCCCCCCGCATTAACACCCTCCAGCCCACCCTCGCCCGCTTGTCTTTCTCTGACTAGCTTACTTTGCTTTACATAATACTCTCCAGGTCCCTCCATGCTGTCTCAAAGGGTAAGGGATTGTTATTTTTTACTGCTGCATAGTATTCCCTGGTATAAATGTACCACAGCTTTTTTATCCACTCATCTACTGATGGGCACTTGGTCAGTTTCCAGATCTTATCTATTGTAATTTGTGCCACTATGAACACAGGGGTGCATACATTCTTTCTGATTGGTATTTTGGGCTTCTTAGGATATATTCCTAGAAGTGGGGTCATTGGGTCAAATGGCAGTTCCATATTTACATTTTTGAGGAAACTCCATACTGTTTTTCATAATGGCTATACCAGTCTGCATTCCCACCAGCAGTGTACTAGGGTTTCCTTATCTCCACATCTTTGCCAGCACTTGCTATTTGTTGATGGTGTGAGGTGACAGGTGTGAGGTGATATCTCATGGTCGTTTTAATTTGCATATCTCTGATGATCAGTGACTTTGAGCATTTTTTCATATGTGTCTTGGCCATCTATATATACACTTTGAAGAAGTATCTATTTAGGTCCTTGACCATTTTTTCATTGGATTATCTTCCTTCTGTTAAGTTGTATGAGTTCCTTATGTATTTTAAATATTAACCCTTTACCAAATGTATCATAGCCAAATATGTTCTCCCATACCAGTGGTTGGCAAACTGCAGCTCGCGAGCCACATGCGGCACATTGGCCCCTTGAGTGCGGATCTTCCACAAAATACCGACTTCTGCGCATGGGCCACGAAGTTTCAATCGCACTGTACATGCACACCCACATGTGGTATTTTGTGGAAGAGCCACACTCAAGGGGCCAAAGAGCTGCATATGGCTCGCCAGCTGCAGTTTGCCGACCACTGTCCCATACAGGGGACTCCCTTTTCATTTTGTTGGTGATTTCTTTTGCTATTCAGAAGCTTTTTATTGTGAAGTAGTCCCATTTTTTTTTTTTTACTTTCTCCTTAGTTTCCTTTGCCCTAGGAGATATATCTGTAAGTATATTGCTACAAGAGATGTCTGAGATTTGAGGCCTATGGTTTGTTCTTGGACTTCTATGGTTTCATGACTTACTTTTAAGTCTTTTTATCCATTTTGAGTTTATTCTTGTGTTTGGTGTAAGCTGGTGGTCTAATTTCATTTCTTTCTGCATATATCTGTCCAATTTTCCCAACGCCATTTATTGAAGAGACTGTCTTCACTCCATTGTATGCTCTTGCCTCCTTTGTCAAATATTAATTGAGCATAATGGCTTGGGTCGATTTCTGGGGGTTTCTGTTGTTTTCCATTGATCTATATGCCTGTTCTTTTGCCACTACCAGCTGTTTTGATTACGATGGCTTTGCAGTATAACTCGAAATCTGGTATTGTGATTCCTCCAACTTTGTTCTTTCTCAAGATTGCTACAGCTATTTGGGGTCTTTTTTGGTTTCATATAAATTTTTGGAGTATTTTTCCTAGATCTGTGAAATATGCTGTTGGTATTTTAATAGAAATTGCATCGAAATTTTAGATTTTCTTGGGTAGTATGGACATTTTAATGATGTTGGTTCTACCAATCCATGAACATGGTATATTGTTCCACTTGCATATATCTTATTCTATCTTTTTTTCAACATCCTGTAGTTTTCAGAGAACAGGTCTTCTGCCTCCTGGGTTAGTTTATTCCTAAATATCTTATGTTTGTTGTTGTTGTAATGGTAAATGGGATTTTTAATTTCTCTTTCTGAAAATTCATTATCTATATATATAAAAGACAAACTGACCCAACGACCAGTCGCTATGAAGCGCACTGACCACCAGGGGGCAGACGCTCAATGCAGGAGTTGCCCCCTGATGGTCAGTGCACTCCCACAGCGGGAGCCAGACACTGGGCTCACGGCTGGCAAGCGCAGCTGTGGTGGTGCAACACTCTCCTGCCTCTGCAGCAGCGCTATTGAGTGGCAGCAGGGCCGGGATGAGTGGGAGTGGCACAGTGCCTCGCCAGGGCTCGGGCTCCTCTCCAGCTGCCTGCCAACTGGCCTGTAGGGATCAGGCCGAAACTAGCAGTCCAATATCCCCCAAGGGGTCCCTGATTGAGAGAGGGCACAGGCCAGGCTGAGGGACCCCTCTGGTGCACAAGTCTATGCACGGGGCCTCTAGTTGGTGTATGAAAGTTACCAATGCTTGGGTGTTGATTTTGTATTCTGCCACATTGCCGAATTCATTTATTAAGTCCAGTAGTTTTTTGGTGGAGTCTTTAGAGTTTTCTACATACAATATCATGTTAGCTGCGAATAATGGGAGTTTTATTTCCTCCTTTCCAATTTGAATACCTTTTATTTCTTCTTCTTGTCTGACCGTGATGGCTAGCACTTCCAGTACTATGTCAAACAGGAGAGCTGAAAGTGGGCATCCCTGTCTTGTTCCTGTTCTTAGGGGAAATGCTTTGGCCCCCACCTGCCACAGTGGCCGCCTTGGCCCTCGCAGCCCCGGCTTTGTCCAGAAGGTTGTCTGGAAGGACGGCTGGTCTAATTAGCATATTATGCTTCTATTATTATAGATTTGGTCAATGGGGTTTCAATTACCCTTTCGATAAGATCCCTCATACATAAGGTGATACAACACCCCATTACTGTAACTCTTAACCTGATTATCAAAGAGGAGAATATGGATACCATCATTACCTTCCATTCTCTGAACCACTGCTTTAGTAAATCAGAGAAAGGATCCTCAGTTCCAGGATTCTCAGCTAACTCATTAGCTAAAGCTGCTAGTCCCTGTAGGGTCTTAGTGATGATTCCATCTGGAGCTGTGTTGTTGGGGATGAATGTACAATGCTGGCCTAGGGGAAATGCTTTTAGATGCAGGTTTGTCATATATGGCCTTTATCATGTTGAGATGTGCTCCCTCTATTCCCTGAGAGTTTATTTTGCGATCAAAAATGGGTGTTGGATTTTGTTGGATGCTTTTTCTGCATTTATTGATATGATCATGTGATTTTTGTCTTTCAATTTGTTAATGTGATGTATCACATTTATTGATTTGCTAATATTGTACCAGCCTTGCATCCCTGGGATAAATCCCACTTGGTCATGGAGTATGATCTTTCTAATATATTGCTAGATCCGATTTGCTAATACCTTGTTGAATATTTTAGCATCTAAGTTCATCAGGGATATTGGCCTGTAATTCCCTTCCTTTGTAGTGTCTTTATTTACTTTTGGAATTAGGATAATGCTGGCCTCATAAAAAAATGTTCCTTCCTCTTGGATTTTTGGAATAATTGGGGAGTATAGGTGTTAGTTCTTTGAATGTTTGGTAAAAGCCATCTGTGAAGCCATTCAGGCTCGGGCTTTTGTTTGCTGGGAGTTTTTATTGATTACTGCTTCTATTTCATCAGTTGTTATTGGCCTATTCAGGTTTTCTGATTCCTCCTGATTTAGTTTTGGGAGATTGTATTTTTTCTAGGAATTTCTGCATTTCATTCAAATTGTCCAGCTTGTTGGCATATAGTTCATATGCCATAGTACTTTCTTATAATCCTTTATATTTCTGTGGTGTCGGTGGTTACTTCTCTGTTTTCATTTCTGATTTTATGTGAGTCCTCTGCTGCTGCTTCTTTTTAAAAAAATATATTTTATTGATTTTTTACAGAGAAGAAGGAAGAGGGATAGAGAGTTAGAAATATCGATGAGAGAGAAACATCAATCAGCTGCCTCCTACACACCCACCACTGGGGATGTGTCCGCAACCAAGGTACATGCCCTTGACCAGAATCGAACCTGGGACCCTTCAGTCCACAGGCTGGTGCTCTATCCACTGAGCCAAACCAGTTAGGGCGAATCCTCTGCTTCTTGAGGAGTCTGGTTAGCAATTCATCAATCTTGTTTATCTTTTCAAAGAACTAGTTCTTGGTTTCATTGATTTTTTGTATCGCTTTTTTAAGTCGCTATGTCATTTATTTCTGCTCTCATCTTTATTATTTCCTTCCTGCTACTTATTCTGGGCTTTTCTTGTTCTCTTTCTAGTTCTTGAAGTTGTAGGGTTAATTTTTCTTGTTTTCTGAGGTAAGCCTATAGTGCTATGAACTTCCCTCTCAAGACTGCTTTTGCTGTATCCCAGAGATTTGGGGTTGTTGTGTGTTCATTTGCATTTGTTTCCAGAGAGTTTTTCATTTCTTTCTTGATTTCATTGGTAACCAACTCATCCTATCTAATAAAAAAGAAACATGGTAATTAGCCGTACCTCCGCTACCCTTCCCATTGGCTAATCAGGGCAATATGCAAATTAACTGGCAGCCCAGATGGCGGCTGGAAGCCAGGCAGCTTTCAGCGAACATGAGGCTTGCTTGCTTCAGTGACGGAGGAAGCCAACGTTCCCGGCCTGCCGCTGCCGGCCTCTGAGCTTGCAGTTGGAAACATTGTTATAAATATAGAAACTAAACAAAACACCAAAAACCTGCTTTCAGCCAGCCCGGATCTCAGAGCGGGAGTT